AACCGTCCCGCCAACCACCGGAAGTCCCTGACATAGTCTACTGCAGCCCGGCCCCGCTGCTTCAGCGCCAGGAGTTCCGCTTCTGCCCGCTGGAGACGTGCGGTGTCCTCGAACCGGGCATGCAGGGCTTCCAGGAAGAGGCCCGCGTTGCCCAGCTCCTGAGTGTGGTCGCTATAAAGATCAGCCGCCCAAGCCGCTGCTTCCCCCTGCAACCCCGCGGTGATCGCCACCACCATCGCCCACTGGGATGGATACAGGTGGGCGTATCGGTCTAGGTGACTGATCGCATGGCTCATGTACATAGCCAACTGGTCGGGGTTGCCGTCAAACGTGATGGGGATAGGCGGTGGACCCCAGACAGTTCCTGGTCCCCATGGGGCTGCGGGTTGGCCCACGCCCGGAGCCGCAGCAGCAGGGGTTGCCAAACTATGAGTCCCGAGACCAGGGCCCTGGGCCCCTGGTGTTCCTCTTGGGGGTGCGTCCCAGGCAACCCCGGCTCCTGACCCACCTTGCCAGCTGGGCTGGGGTTGCGGAGCGGACACTCCGGGGCCTCCTGTCACCGGAGCGCTTGCTGCTGGCGTCAGTCGCAGTCGCGGGCTGCTCAGCCGAAAGCGAGTCGACTCAGACCGTCCCAATGACCCGTCCACCCGTTGCCACGACGACGGTCCCTGGTAACTGGCCTCGCCAAACCGGTCCCGGAGCACGTCCATTGTATACTGGCCTGGTGCCGTCGAGTAGCTCCACTCTGCCTCGTCATCCCCCGTGACCCGCCTTTCTCTCCACTCCATAATGGGAGGCCTGGCACCCGGGGTGCGTGCTTGCGCCATCTCCAGGTTGGCCAACGCAGGACTTTGCCACCACTCCCCCGCACCCCCTGAGGCTGTAGTCTCCCGGGCCTCACCCGAAGGTACCGTGGCCCTGGTCACCTTTGGTCTGACCGCTGGCTGTGTTTCTAGGGCCTCTGTGCCGGGTGCAGGACCCGTGGCTCCAGGCGGAGCCTCCTCTTCCGTTCCCTGGGGAGCCTCTTGTTTGGCCTCCGCCATCCCCTCGAAACAAGGGAAAGGTCAAGGGGCAATGGAAGAAGGAGTGCTGACTTACTGTCACACCATCCGATGGCATCCGAACATCCGATGTGCCACGCCCCGTTACCCCACCCCCAGCCGCAAGCCACCATCCGCCCTGTGCTTATAATTGTCCCAGCAGTTTGGACCCGCCCCTCCCGGGAGTCAATCAAGCCTTGGTGGTTCTCCGTCCGGCCGCTTGTGTGCTGCGTCACCCAGCTTCCTTCCTCGAAGGCTCTTTTGTCCAGGGAGTTCTAGGTCGGTGTCAGCCCTTGCTCGGCATTCTGAGCTCTCCCGCGCCGCATGCTGGTCTGCCGTTGTTGTGTGGCCCGTTCGGCTTTCCCCCTGGCGTTTGTGGCGTTCTCCGCCTTACCGCGGCTTTCCCTGGCCGGCCCCAGCAGTTCCAGCTGGTTGCCGGCAGTTGGCTGTTCCTCCCTGGCTGCCTCGGCCCCCCCGGCCCTGTCGGTGAGCGCCCAGTAGGGCGCAGCGTCGCCAGGCCTCCCCCCTTCGCGCGAGGCTTCTGGCGTTCCCCCTCGCGCTCGGCTGTGGCGGCCCGGGGTATTCCGTCCCGGCCACGACAGGCAGCGCCGCAGGGAACGGAAGGGAAGGGGGGAGGGCCGTACCTGGAGCATCGCAGGCCGGGGCGACGCTGGGAACGAGCTGGGCGGCCGCGGCGGGAACGAGCTGGGCGGCGGCGGCGGTGGCGGGAACACGCTGGGCAGCTGCAGCGGCCGAAGCGGCGGGAAC